GGGGGGGGGCGGGTAGAAAAAGGCAAATGCAGGAAAAGAAATGTTCGGTGTTTTTTTCTCCTGTATACTTATTTCACGGTTTTGTGCATTAATGCCTATAGGGTAACTGGATGTTGAATCACTGATTCGGCTTCACCTTGATTCATTCCAGCCAAATAGGTGGTAAAGCAAAGAGGTAGTGTGTGGGCAAAGACATTCTTACCTCTCATCCTTTTGTCTAAATCTTGACAAACAAAAATGTTGGGGGTATGGGATACAGATCTTTTTTTGCTCCCATAAAGATGACATGAAACTACATGCACCAGAAATAGCTTCAGAATTCCTGGGTTGTAAAACCTCTCATAAACTTTAGTAGTTTAAGGAGTGCCTACCTAAATTAATAAAAGGTCCATCTGTCATTTCAGCTTTGTCTGAGCAAAATATTATGTGATTCATGATAGGGGCTGATAGCAGCTTCTATACTCTCTAAGTTCTATTTTAAATGTCCTCCATTGGCTTTCTCATATCCACTTTGCTCCACAACTTAAACCCTCCACTATAAATAAAGATGACCTATAACCTGTTATAATTCTTGTAATAAACAGCATTTAAAAAATCCCCAAAGGAATAGTTCTCCCAAATTCACAGTCAAAATATTACTTTCCAAAGAGCTGTTACTGCTGATGGTGAGCTTAAAGTGGGTTTCTCAAAATGCAGTCCTCTAAAGTATCTTCATAGAATCATCTGGAGCATCAAAAATGCAAACACCTTGCATCTTCGGTCAGAGCACAGGCTTAGAAATCTACATTTTTAACAGCTTGACCAGGTGATTCTTATGTACACAAGTTTGAAAAACATGGTTTAAAGTATATATTATTAAAATCGACTAAACAACAATGATGTAAATAACACCCACAGAAAAGTAGAAACATTTTGGCATTGAGAAATCAATAGGCTTGGGCGCCTGGGTGGCTCAGTTGGTTAAGCGACTGCCTTCGGCTCAGGTCATGATCCTGGAGTCCTGGGATCGAGTCCCGCATCAGGCTCCC